AAAATGCAGGATTTGCATTAGTCCACTAGTTGGGTGATACTAATAATAATTATAACTCTTTCACCGCTAACTCTATAAGCTTTTTAAGTCTGCCTTGAATTAACTGATATATAGCTGTTTGCATCTTTGTCAAATAGCAGCCATGAAAAAATCAGTCCTTTTTCACATAAATTGTGTTGTTCCAGAAAACATCCAAAGTGCTTCTGCAAAAGGTTTGTTGATTTGAAGCCCCCTATCCCTTTGCAAAGTTTAGTTCATCTTCATAAAAACCTTGGCTTTGAACCCCCTCCCCCCTTTCTTCTTGCAGTTTTCAACAAAACCTCCATTGAGGTGGTATGGATTTTTCTTGGAACCACCATTACAACATGTATGTAAGAGATTAAATAGAACATGCAACATGACACTAAGAGACAGACTATCACTTTTTTGAGGGAGGAGGGTTCAGGGCAATTTTCTGGGGCAGGAAATTTTTTTCCTCACCTTTTAGTTATGTATGATATATTTTGGTGGGAATAGATTGCGTAACAATTTTTTAACATCACATAATACAGTACCAGAATAGTAGAAAGCACTTGCTCAATTTTTTTCACCATGGCTCCCCTTGCATGAATTTTTTTGGAAATTGCCCAACCCCCACCTCAAAAAAATAATGGTCCATCCTTAAAATGTCAGATCAAAAACTCACAATAAAGAAAGCCACAATCGCACCAAGAAACATGCCAACCAATACATCTCCCCAGTGATGCCAGTAATCAAATATCCGTGACAATGCACAAAGAAGTCCTAATGACAGGAAAGCCACTTGAAGAAACGGCTTCACTAAGTTGCTTCGTTTTGCTGGCATTGAAGATTCTAAATATAGCTGCAATTTAAAAAAATAATACAATTGAAGTAGTAATCCTAAATGAATTAATTAAATGGCACTGTTTTCCAGCTTAGAGATAGAATGTCCACACTGCATGGTTGAGCTTCTACTGTTAAAAAAACAAACAAACAAACAAAGGAAGTTTGGATACATTCCTTTCAGATGATCTGGATTAGGATCATTGATTGAAGATTACTCTGATCATGGTGCAACAAAAGAAATGATGAATCCACTGTGAGCAAGAATTTATCAGTCCTTTGATGTACTTAGATCTGAGTGATCTTGGATCATTGATCCTGATTCAGATCATCTCACAGGGATACACTGTTTATGGCCTATCACATGTTGTGGTATTATAAACTCATTTCTTTATCATCATGATAAGGGCAACATAACAAGTTTTATGCACATTGATGTTAAAGGTTACTTGTAAGATGTTAATTTTGGAAATGAAAAAGAAAAACAGAATTGCCTTTGTTCTCAAACAATATATAAGAATTTAGAGGACCTGTCTTGAAAGGTTTTGAAACTAGCTAAAACTAAGCAAAGTTTCTCTTTGTCAGAGCCTGATCAGGCTCTCAACAGTGTTATTAAAACTGAATACTTACAGCTAAAAATACCATGGAATAAGCTGAAAATGAAGCATGAGCTGAAGGGAAAGAGAACCTAAAATAAAACAAATTATAAAACAAATTATGAAACAATGTGCCATTGGTACAAAAAAGTAAAATACTTTAAATTATTTTTTCTATTTTTTCATTTTATTATTATTATTGTTATTGTTATTTTTATTTTTTTTAATTGATTTACAAACACAATATACATAGGAAAAAACTAAACAAATAAAAAGAGGAAATAATAATACTACAGCACAATACTTACTTACAGTACAATATGATTGTTAAGACTACTTAAATCATTCTTTACATAGCTATAACAATTGAGTTTGGAAAATGTCCAGTTTTTTTTGTGTAAAGTTTCAAACAAAGGGCAGCACTACTAATGCTATCTTTGCTGTATATGTACAGTATGAGCATTATATTACTAACCAAAAAGACAAAAAAAAAACATTACTTTG